CTCTCCAATTTTGGGCGCTCTGGAAAATGAGAAACAAGATGATCTTTCATCCTTCTGAATACTTGTTTGCTTCGATAATTCACCTGCAGAAGTGGATGCCTCTGTGGAAGGGGAGGACACAGGAGGAGATCAAGAAGACAGTGTTGTGTATTCAGGCGCAGATTACCAGGCTGAAGCAGGAACCAACACCTCACCAGGACCCAAGCGGCGCATGATAGATGTGATCTAAAGTGGTTTTTGTTTCCTGACGTGTTGGTTCTTGGGTTTTCAGGCCCTGTTCTAGTGCTTCTGCTAATGTGTTTGTCTCTGCAAGCTGGTAACCCCAGCCCTTACCTTTTCTGTTGATTGTAAGATTTTGAACATTTGGTCTTCTATAGACCGGGCATCATAATTGAGATGTCTTTTGTCTAAAAAACTGCCATCCAGGTCACTGCATGCACGAATAGCCGAATAGGTACACAACCCCACAATGGCCTGCGTCTATCATGGGCCAGGGCAATAACTACAGTACACGTTCTCTTTCCTCCCACGCATGATTTATTTTCCTTGTATACCAACAACGGTCAAAGCAGCGCTTGTCTTCTTCCTCACAGCGGCGTGGCGACCTATGAGCATCTGAACAGGGACACGACGGATGAGGCTTTGGATCATGTGTGCGCTCCTGGCAATGGGCACAGTGTAGGACGTTTTGCTGCTCACAAGACACTGGTGAAAAATGCAGGTGCACAATTTGTACATGTATCTATAAGAACCAGCAAAATCCTGTGATTTGTTGTTATGTGACTCCCAAATCCCAAACCATGTGATAATTTACATACATCAGTGGTCATTTCAACTGTTATTGAACATTTTGAACACTAAGATCTTGTCTCATTAAACATTTAAGCACACTAATGATCTGTCTCGTCTAAACATTAGACAGATATCACTTCAGTTTTCTGAAACATCTGGCACAGTGCACACTGTAAAAAGCCAACCACGAAGGTTACTGGTACCAAAAAATTAAGACAGTAAACAACATTATAAATTGAATTCCTGAACGTTCAGTCCAAGTTCTACTAAATGATGATGGCTGATGACTATTTCTATAGAGTTGAAGCAAGGAATAGATGAACTAATGAGACATATGCAAAACAGTAGCATATCTTCAGAATCCCATGATAACCTCATAGTCAACAACACATGCACAATCAGACAGCAAAGTAAAATTTATTCGTATAACTGGATTAATAATTATTCAAGCGCTGAGCATGAGAGAAAACACTGACCGTCCAGTGCTTGGTTGAGTGAACTGAAGTCCATAAAAGTTCTGGACGCTTTGTTTGGAGATGGTTGCACGAGAACAATGGTGTGCCTTCCAGCCTGTGATAGTGTCACAAATAAGATATTTTATTTTCTATAAAGGGGCATTTTATTGACTCAAAATGCCACATCAGGGCAATAAAAGCAGAAAGAGTTCACAGCTGGCCTCTGCATAGCTAAGTGCACAGAGCCCATAAATAAGATCTGCGGTGCTAAACTTTGCATAAAAAAGTGCTGGTAAGCAAGTCAGTTTTGAAACGGCATAAGCACAATTGTTGTCCAGGCACCCAGAACAGCTGGGAACCGATGTATGCCAACAAGGGTTTACAGACCGAACATCATGGCAGGTACCACTTTATTATTTATCTTCCACCAGTTCTCAGATAGAAGTTATTTCCAGATTATCATTGTCGCACTACTTTGAAAGAAAGAGTGAGCCCTAAAGAGCACTGTTAATTGCTTCCAAGTAACATATAAGCACCTTTGGGCCTTGCGACCAGAAAAGCCACTCAGAGCCTTCCTAATTGAATTGAACAAAAGTTGCCTGGCGCCACGGCGAGCACATTCAGATGGTCAGATTCAACAACCAGGTCATAGGACACCATAACACTAGATAACCATCCAACCAGGTATATCATACACTCCAAACGGAGATGAGATGAATTGAAGTTCCTACGAAAGCATGCAAGCCGTGGTTGACATGTCACATGCAAATCCAAGCTACTCAGAGCACATATACAGACAGGGGTCTACAGACTGAACACCAATGACCATTAATTAGGCCAATACCACATCACCGGTTAGCCTCCACATGTTGTCCAAAGGCAGTTTTACTTCCAGGATCTCAATCAATTTCACATCTCAATTTGCAGCGACCTTGGAAAGAAAGAGTAAGCACCGCTGATCGCTTCTAAAAAGGACATAAACTTTGCCCAATGGCAAAACCACCACGAGTCATTCTAGCCGGGGAAATTAATTAACCCCGCCAAAGGCAGGAGGAAATGGGGAACAAAATTCCCCACAGCAGCCAGCGAGCCGCGACGCGACGCAAAGCATCAACGGAGGAAGTGGGAATAATGTAGCTGTAGGGTTAGATCGCCGTACCATACTCTCGGTGCGGAAGCGGAAGCGGAAGCAGAAGCACGGGTCCCCCGCGCCGGGCCGACGAACCCTAGAGAGACCAGCAGCCGCGCCTTTCCTGTGAGAAACGAGAGAAAACGAACTGGGTGGGTGGAGCCGAGGAGAAATACTGCTCGCCGGCAGGGGGGGAAGTGAAGACCAGAAAGAAAAAAATGTTACCGGAGCGGGGGGTGAAGGCGGAGGCGGAGGCGGTGGATGGTGTGGTGTGGGCGAGCCTGCGAGGAGGAAGGATTGCCAAGAAAAAGTTGCAGGGAAGAGAAGCCCGACCCAGAGAGTGAGAGATCCTTCCTAGCAAAAATGGAATCCTTTCGGAACACTAGACTAGGGGAAGCCCGATCGAAATAAGTCCTTCCAAAATACTGTACCCCAGAAATTGTTACTACCCCAGAAGGAGGAGATCCATTTTTACCAGGTACTACCTCCATATCAAAATGTAAGACGTTTTTTAGGCAAATTTAATCAAAAAAACATCTTAGGCTATGTTCGGTTACTCCCAGCCCCGCCGGGATCGGGCGCAAACCCCCCCGATCCACGTGGGTTTCGCCCAGGCCGGAGTCGGTTCCCGGTCTGGCTTATGAAAGCCTTCGGTTAGACCCGGTCTGGACCAAATCCCTCGCAAACCCCGTGGAAATCGCCGGGATATGACCCACGCGTCCCACCCCGTGGAAGCAACCCTCTCCTGAAACGTTACGCGAGCCCCGGCCCTCTCTCCCTCTCTCGATTTGACAACGACGGCTCTACCGGAGTAGATGGCGGCGGCGCACTTCCTCCTTCCCCCTTCCTCTCCCCTTTTCAACCGTCGGCTGGACATCCAATCGAAGCTGCATGAGCTCGGCGGCGACCCAGACCAGCCATGGAGCCAGGCCCAAACCCTAGCCGGACTTCATCCAATCTCCCCGCTGCCTCACGCCGGAGAAGAGGAGGCATTTGGCGACGAGACCTTCAGGTTGGTTCTCTGTTTCTCCCTGTGTGCGCCTTCTCCTCTGTCCACTCTTCGTTCTCTCTGTATTAACAGCAAGGCATCGTGGTGGTGGCGGCCTAGAGGATTTAACCGAATGCATAATAAGTGATATGGAATTCACAATGACATGTATTTAGTCCCCGAGGGGATTTGGTGTAGGGTGAGGGATCACCCAATCCTCCAGAGGATTAAATCCACTAGAGGATTAAATACTCTACAACCGAACAAGGCCTTATATATTTTGGTATGGAAGTAGTACTACTTTTGTACCAGATTTTTACATTTGCGTTATTTTGGCCAGAAGCGATTCAAAACTTATGTGTAACAGCAACAAAAAACATTTCGTGTGCACTTGGCAAGCAAACAGGTTTCGTCTGGTTGATGTTTTTGGCTACTGGAAATGGAATACAAACAGAGAAACATGAAGCAAACTAACCTTGCAATTTCTCCAAAGGGCATTCAAGAATCTAACGATCTATTCACACACACATCGAACTTTGAAATAGATTCAAAACCCTCATCGAAGGGCATTCAAAAAGCTATTCGAAGAGCATCTAATGATCAAAGCAACACACACAAAAAAAAAATCAAACGATCAGAACCAAGAACTGAGGCTGACAGTAATAAGCCAAAAATAATCTTAGACTCAGTTTTCGACTCCTACAATGCTGACACGATATATTGTAACCGACAGAATACTCCAAAACCACAGTACATTGTTACAAATTGTGTAAGAACTGAAAAGAAATAATAACATTGGAGGAGACACAAAAACATCCCATTTTGAAAACAAAAAAGCCTTGTTCATTCCCAGGCTCCAGCGGGAGTTAGGCCGCCGTCGCCGAGAGACCAAAATCCATGGCTTCTTCCTTTCCTCGAAACAATAATCAACACTCATGTGACCTCGCAAAAATATACAGCTCAAAACTGGCTGTTGCTCACATCCCAGTTCCTCTGCGGTGAAACACCTAAGCTATAGAGAATACACCATATGCTGTTTTTCACTAGACACAGCACCTGAGAAGTTGAGCTGCCAAGAGCTGTTATATCGAGAGGCTGTTGCACGCGTCGACTACGGCAGCATGTGAGCTCAATATGGCCTGACCTGCTGGGTCTGCTTCTAGGGTTTTCGTCACGGCGGTGAATATTGCTTTGCGGAAGAAGGTATCCTCCATTGCCTTTAGAATCCCCTCTACGGCTTCAAATCTCAGGCCACACGACAGAATCAGACGAGCAACCACTTCACCAAATTGCGTTGGAGCTTTAGGAAGGTCAATACCAATATCTTCCAACAGCGGCCCATATAGCAAGCAACCATTTTCCAGATCTTCAGTCTTGAAAGTTTTCTTGGTGTACAGATGCTCCAGAAGCTTAACAAGAGGGTCAACAAAACTGGCACCTTTATCCAGAGCAAGATTGATAGCTTCTTTAACAATCTCAGGGTGGTAATCAGGACTCTGCAGCTCCTCGATACATTGTTGTGCTTCATCCAAAATACGAATACCAAAATACTCCTCAAGAAGAGATGCTGTCTTCTTCTGAAGCCCTGCAGGGATCACCTTGGCAGAACTGGCTGCTTTGTCAGGAATAGGTACAGAAGCTGGAGTTGCACTTGATGGTTTTGGTGATGCTGTAGTTTGAGCTGGTAAAGGAGTGGGGCTAGCCGCAAGGCTGGAAGGGCGGGATGGTGGACCACCGGTGCCCACGAGTGCACTCTTGCCAATCAGTGCTCCAGTGCCTTGAGGAAGAAGCCTGGGGTTGATGGGTGATGGCTTGTTAATAGATGAAACCTTATTAATCAACGGACCCTGGTTGTTGCGAAGCGGGTCGCCTCTTGGCATTGATCTAGAACGCTGAACTTCCCAGTTATCATTATCTAACCCAGGCATCCCAGGCATTTTTCTAGATCCAGGCATCCCAGGCATCATACCTCCAGTTCCTGGCCGGTTCACTGAAAAACCTCCAGGCGAAAGAGGCCCACCTGGTGCATTACGGCCATTCCTCATGTTCGCTGTGGCCCCTGGACGTAATCCAAGGTTCTTTTCAGCCTCTGTGTGGATCTCGCTGATTGTCTTCGCCTTAATCTGAAAGTTACAAGCACAAAAAGTTTACACTGGATGGATTCACAAATCCAGCTGGACTCAGTTGCTATAAGAACAGTCATAGAAGTGGGAAAAACTGTTTGAAGGCTAAGTGTCATTCTAGTTTTGAGAACAGATTCAGTATAATCAAGTAATGTGGTGGTTTTAACTGACTGACTATAAGCATGTGCATGTTGAGTGTACAAAGCAAAGTGCACATCTGACTGATTTCCAAGAAATTTGCAATTCAATATGCTAATCATTTTTGGTTTGCCAGTTCTTCTAGTACGTTAACCTTTAGGATCTTAGAACTTCCAGTTTTCCTATGAAGTTGATATGCCTCTTCTGGCAATATGCAACAAACTACTAAAATGAGATGAGCCAGTACCCAGCAACAGTCGTTAACTGGTTATACATAAAAAGGTAATATAGTTCAACATAATAGCAGCAAAGCAGTAACATCGATCCATTAAATCACTATGAAAGCAACTGCATGTAGAGTAAACAGTCCATGCACTTGGTTGATTTTATTTACCTCAGCACGTCGAGGCACCCAGTTGTTAGAACGGAGATCAATCAAATCCCGGACCATGAACTTGGAACGTGGGGTCAACTGAGGGTTCGCTACTAGCTCCCTAATCTGGACGAAGTAGGTATCATTGATTCGGCGAGACTTTGGGTTCTCATCAAGCTGTTTACCGATCGTATTGAAGAACTGACAAATTGCTTCGACGTGTTCCTCATCAGGGCAAGCCTTTTTATCAGACCCCAGTAGCTCCTACATATAGTGCATACAACAAACGGATTAGGCACGTTTTCATGGAATAATAATTGTACCGTCGATTTCCCAAAGTGTACCTTGACAATGTGATGAACGATCTTCTCAGGAACCATCTTTTGCTTGAGTAGCTCACCAATCAGACGAATATTTCCAAGTGTTCTAAGTTTGAAGATCCTTTCTTTGTCTCTTTTCTCCATCTCTTGGTCAGGGCCAGTCAAACTTGCAATCTCAACCCTCAGGCTGTCAGCACCTTCAAAAGCTTCCTGACAATTGTTCAACAGCACACGTTTGAATGTAATCTCTTTACCGCCTGGTTCTTCAGAAGGGAATGTCGGGAGGTTGTCATTGAGTTCAGAACAAAGTTGAGCATACATCGGACAGAACGTCGGTTCAAAAACAGCCTTCTCAAATATGAGAGAGATAACATCCTGAATGAAAAGCAGAAGATAGATGAATCACCAGGAACAGTCATGAGGACATGGGATTATAATACACAGCTAGAAACAAATCAAACCTTCAAAATATCAGCAGTAGTAATTCCAGAATCTAGCAGTTGGCCCTTGAGTAGATCAAATTTCTCTGGCGTCAGTTTGTTTAGTATACTGCACAAGCAAGAGCAGATAAACAGCATGCAGACGACAAATACAAACTAGGTAATATATGCTTAGTAAACAAGGAATGAAAATTGCCACTTCAACAGGAACAAACAAGAAGAAAAACATAATATTACCCTTTCACTGTTTTCAGGACTCTGTCTTTCTCCGAGAGATTGCCTCTTCGGGCTGACCAAGGTACATCAGCCTTGATAAGAGCAGGAGGGGGGCCAACCTGACATTTGGAGAACAAAATAAGGAGGGATATACATACGGCCAAACACTACCTCGGTAGGGAAAAATAAGCACTGAAAAATAGAACAAAGCATAACAACACATGAAATCAATCACCACCGAATATATTACTCCCTCCATCCCAAAATAAGTGTCTCAACTTTGTACTAAGGTTGAGACACTTATTTTGGGACGGAGGGAGTACTTGTTTACTTCTATTCAAACACACAACTTCTGCATGTAGTTTCCTACTGAATACTAGGTTGCTAGAAAGGTATGTTCATAGTTGCATAGAATGATATTTAATTAAGCAAATTATATAATAGCACAACAGAACCATGATCAGACTACACTGTTGAGTTGTATCAATAATCCCAACATTGACTGTATGACAGATCAGTAGAACCAAGCAACTGTACTGAGATGTGATGAATGGAGTCGCATCACATCAGAATCGATTAATCGATGCAAATCAGCATTCAATCCAAAAAGGAAGCAACCAGCAAACAAAACAGATGATTGGTAACACGAGCTTATTCAAAATTTACTACAAAAAGGTCAAAGGGAGCAAAGGAGTAAACGACTGATGCCTCATCTTGAAGGTACCTGAGCTTTCTGGGAGCTCGATTGATCTTGCCTGTTAAACTGCTCTTGCTGCCTGCCACTTGCATTGTACTGTTCTTTAACCTCACGAATGTTGTCCCAAGACTTCTCTTCCTGAACTGCTGGTGCTGGAGGTTTCTCTGTGCGTGCACGCCAGTCACGGTTATCTGTC